TCCTTGAAGAATTACGTACATAGAATATAGGTCCCCAGTGAGAATATTCATCAGCTTTTGAGGAACACCACCCAATTCCATTGGTTTTCATTGCAAAATAGTTTTTTTCATAGTTCTACACACCGGTCGTGGGGGGTACCCTTCGGTGAGCCTGAAAAACTCATTTTTTTAATGCAATATAAAAAGAAATTGATCATTTCGGGGGATCTGTTTTTTGTTGAAACGTTCTACTCTGATGTCAAAGTAGACGCTCAGAATCTTGAGTGGCGGCATCTATGTCAAATGCAGAAAGCGGGGGATAGATGGCTCAACTGCCATTCAAAACAGGTCAGTTGCGCCATGTATCCCTAAAAATGACTAATTTTTTGCAATCTTCTGCGCTGTTTTTCCCCAGATGTTTTTTTTTCTCAACATCAAGCTGCCTTTTTGGGACATAGATGGCGCAACTCCCACCCATTCGCCAAAATCAGGCTGGGAATGCCCACATAGATGGCGTAACTCCCTCATATCTCCCGACATCCATAAGCCAACCTAACCAAAATATGCCACATAGATGGCGCAACTCCGTCACATCCTGACATCCACAAACCAACCTAACCAAAATATGCCACATAGATGGCGCATCTCCACATAGATGGCGCAATTTTACAATTTCAATATATGCATTCTGATTATTTTTAGATGTATAATATTTACATACCGTGAACCCCCCGTTGTTGGCAGATATGTTTCTATTTACATACCGTGAACCCCCCGTTGTTGGCAGATATGTTTCTTATTTTTTCATCTTTTTTCTAACGGATGTAGGGTTTAGGGTTAGACACGATATATTTTGATAGAAATGTTATTTTTCAACATATGTTGGCAAAAAAAAAAAAAATCCGGGATACTACAACGATAGGTCCTCAAACACTCTTTCTGGGGACCTATCGCCTGAGTCCTGGTGGTTTTGCCTCCTGTCTTGGGATAACTCTGATGTCTTTCCTGGCGGTTTTGCCTCCTGTCTTGGGATAACTCTGATGTCTTTCCTGGTGGTTTTGCCTCCTGTCTTGGGATAACTCTGATGTCTTTTTTGGTGGTTTTGCCTCCTGTCTTGGGATAACTCTGATGTCTTTCCTGGTGGTTTTGCTTCCTATCTTGGGATAACTCTGATGTCTTTCCTGGTGGTTTTGCCTCCTATCTTGGGATAACTCTGATGTCTTTCCTGGTGGTTTTGCCTCCTGTCTTGGGATAACTCTGATGTCTTTTTTGGTGGTTTTGCCTCCTGTCTTGGGATAACTCTGATGTCTTTCTTGGTGGTTTTGCCTCCTGTCTTAGGATAACTCTGCTGTCTTTCCTGGTGGTTTTGCCTCCTGTCTTGGGATACTCTGATGTCTTTCCTGGTGGTTTTGCCTCCTGTCTTGGGATAACTCTGATGTCTTTCCTGGTGGTTTTGCCTCCTGTCTTAGGAATTGGCGGAACTCGTTTTATGTTCCAGCTAAAATAGCTCTGTTTTCTTTCTCACCGCGCGGTGCCATCTTGTGGGCATTTTGGTTTCTGAGTTGAGCCATTTACTTTTAGGTCAGTGTAGTTTAGGAACTTCAAACATCCAGGGTTGCTACTCCCCAAAGGGAATTACATGGAATTACGTATATGATATATACCCTGAAATGGAAGAGACCCAATTTCTTGCAGAACTACATACATAGAATATAGGTCCCCAGTGAAAATACTCATCAGCTTTTGAGGAACACCACCCAATTCCATTGGTTTTCATTGCAAAATAGTTTTTTTCATAGTTCTACGACACCGGTCGTGGGGGGTACCCTTCGGTGAGCCTGAAAAACTCATTTTGTTAATGCAATATAAAAAGAAATTGATCATTTCGGGGGATCTGTTTTTTTTTGAAACGTTCTAGTTTAGGAACTTCAGACATCCAGGGTTGCTACTCCCCAAAGGGAATTACGTATCTGATATACCCTTATACATGGAAGAGACCCAATTCCTTGAAGAATTACTTACATAGAATTTAGGTCCGCAGTGAAAATATTCATCAATTTTTAGAGGAACACCACCCAATTCCATTTGTTTTCATTGCAAAATATGTTTTTTTTCATAGTTCACCCCGCGATTGCCCCAGCAAAACGCGTTGCAACACACTTTCCATGCTGAAATCGCAGTTGTCCCTTTGCGGAACTGGTTTGAATCACAGGCGGCTGCAGCAATCCATGTTTCTGTCAAAAACCTGAAAAGATTTATTTTCCTGGATCAAAATGGATAGCCGGAAATATTCTATGTATATGTTGTTTTTTTCCGATTCCGGAAGATGTTTTTATTCTATGTATAGGTGTTTTTACCGATTCCGGGAGATGTTGTTGAGGCCGAAATTATCGATTTTGTATTCTATGTATCCCATCGGGATTATATAATATATTATATGTACTCACAAGTTTTTGCACATATCTGTACAACTTGAAGGGGAAAGCGTTCTAACTGCTAAAATGCTGGTTAAAACAATGTCAAAGGGAACCGTTCTATTTGCGGAAATGCTGGTAGAAAACAATTTCAAGGGGGAAGCATTCCAACTGCTGAAATGCTTGTGTAAAAAACAACTTGAAGGGGGAAGCATTCAAACTGCTGAAATGCCGGTAAAAAACAAGTTCAAGGGGGAAGCATTCTAATTGCTGAAATGCTGGTAGAAAAACAATTGCAAGGGAGAAACATTCTAACTGCTGAAAAACTGGTAAAAAACAATTTCAAGGGGGAAGCATTCTAACTGATGAAATGCTGGTAAAAAAACATTTCAAGGGGGTAAGCATTCTAACTGCTGAAATGCTGGTAAAAAGTAATTTCAACGGGAAAACATTCTAACTGCTGAAATGCTTGTGTAAAAGCAACTTCAAGGGGGAAGCATTCTAACTGATGAAATGCTGGTAAAAAGCCATTTCAAGGGGGAAACATTCTAACTGATGAAATGCTTGTGTAAAAAGCAACTTCAAGGGGGAAGCATTCAAACTGCTGAAATGCTGGGAAGCATTCTACCTGCTGAAATGCTGGCAAAAACAATTTCAAGGGGGAAGCGTTCTAATTGCTGAAATGTTGGTAGAAAGCAATTTCAAGGGGGAAGCATTCTAACTGCTGAAATGCTTGTAAAAAACAATTTCAAGGGGAAAGCATTCTAACCGCTGAAAAGCTGGTAAAAAGCCGTTTCAAGGGGGAAGCATTCTAACTTCTGAAATGCTGGAAAAAAACCTTTTCAAGGGGGGAAGCATGCTAACTGTTGAAATGCTGGTAAAAAACAATTTCAAGAAAAGCATTCTAATTGCTGAAATGCTGGTAGAAAAGCCATTTCAAGGGAGAAACATTCTACAGTAACTGCTGAAATGCTTGTGTAAAAGCAACTTCAAGGAGGAAGCATTCTAACTGATGAAATGCTGGTAAAAAACCATTTCAAGGGGGAAACATTCTAACTGATGAAATGCTTGTGTAAAAAGCAACTTCAAGGGGGAAGCATTCTAACTGCTGAAATGCTGGGAAGCATTCTACCTGCTGAAATGCTGGCAAAAGCAATTTCAAGGGGGAAGCGTTCTAATTGCTGAAATGCTGGTAGAAAGCAATTTCAAGGGGGAAGCGTTCTAATTGCTGAAATGCTGGTAGAAAGCAATTTCAAATGGGAAACATTCTAACTGCTGAAATGCTTGTGTAAAAGCAATTTCAACGGGGAAGCATTCTAGCTGCTGAAAAGCTGGTTGAAAAAAAAATCAAGGGGGAAGCATTCTAGCTGATGAAATGCTGGTAAAAAAACATTTCAAGGGGGGAAGCATTCTAACTGCTGAAAGGCTGGTAAAAAGCAATTTCAAGGGGGAAGCATTCTAACTGATGAAATAATGGTAAAAAACAATTTCAAGAAAAGCATTCTAATTGCTGAAATGCTGGTTAAAAAACAACTTCAAGGGGGAAGCATTCTAACGGCTGAAATGCTGGGAAGCATTCTAACTGCTGAAATGCTGGCAAAAGCAACTTCAAGGGGGAAGCGTTCATTGCAGGAATGCTGGTAGAAAGCAATTTCAAGGGGGAAGCATTCTAACTGCTGAAATGCTTGTGTAAAAAACAATATGAAGGGGAAACATTCTAACTGCTGAAAGCCTGGTAAAAAGCAATTTCAAGGGGAAAGCATTCCAACTGGTGAAATGCTTGTAAAAAGCAATTTCAAGGGGAAAGCATTCTAACCGCTGAAAAGCTGGTAAAAAGCCGTTTCAAGGGGGAAGCATTCTAACGTATGAAATGCTGGTAAAAAACATTTTCAAGGGGGGAAGCATGCTAACTGCTGAAATACTGGTAAAAAACAATTTCAAGAAAAGCATTCTAATTGCTGAAATGCTTGTGTAAAAGCAACTTCAAGGGGGAAGCATTCTAACTGATGAAATGCTGGTAAAAAACCATTTCAAGGGGGAAACATTCTAACTGATGAAATGCTTGTGTAAAAAGCAACTTCAAGGGGGAAGCATTCAAACTGCTGAAATGCTGGGAAGCATTCTAACTGCTGAAATGCTGGCAAAGCAATTTCAAGGGGGAAGCGTTCTAATTGCTGAAATGCTGGTAGAAAGCAATTTCAAGGGGGAAGCGTTCTAACTGCATTCTAACATCTGATCTGATGATATTCATAGTGCGAAGGCATTCTAAGTGAGGGATTTGTGCAAAGGGTTCTCCAAAAACAAAAAAACTTAAAACTCGGGTGGGGAGGCATTCTAACTGAAGGATTTTTTGCCGTGCGCGGGCCGCATTCTAACTGAGGGGGAGGAATATTTGGAATTCGCGGAGGCATTCTAACTTTCATTTTAACGGTATATATATATACACACATAGGATATATACAGTATATATATATATATATATATCCAAAGTTGCTGATGACTGGTTTAAATCACCATGATTTCTTGGTTAGTCAGCATCGTTGTTGCAGTTGAACGTTGCCGTTGTGCACGCCCGTGCTGCCGTGCTCGCTGGCATCGCTGTTCTGAGGCCCCCGCGCCTGCATCCTGGAGGTCTTGATGCGGGATTCCGAGATGTCTCAGGCGGGGAGGAGTGGGCAGTGTTTCGGTGACCACCAGGTTCGGGACTACCCTCTGGTAAACTAACATAACTATGGCAAATCACAATTTTCAATGGGAAATTCCACTATAAATCACCATTTTCAATAGCTATGTTAAATTACCAGAGGGTAATCTCAGCTCAGTTCCTGCTGGGCGAATGATATCAATGATATGTCCAGATTGTATTCTAAGCCATGGACCCTCTTTAGAAAAGAGACAAAAGTTGCCGCATGATTTCAAGATGCCGTCGGCAGAACTTTGCAACTTTGCAGAGGCGACCAACGTGTGATCCTGCCTTTCCTAACCTCACAGGGGACGTCAACCGTTCAGTCAAAGGCTCCAATTTCTGCTCACAACTGTCAGTTTTTGATTCATTTCCTTACTTTCGTTGGTAAGAAATCCTTGAACTTGCTGGTAGAATCCCGCCCCACCGTTCTTCGTAGGAATGGGCGACTGACCCATTGATGCAGGTAAGTGCTTTGGACCGTGTGGCGCAGACGCGCGAGAAATGTCTGGGGCCTGAGAAGAAAGGGTCAGATGGTCATCAAAATATGCCGATGATGATGAACCATTGGATTTGCGGGTAATTTTGGACAAAACCATATACATATACATATATATATACATACATATATATATATACATATATATATATACATATATATATATACATATATACACACATATATATATATATATGTAATGAATGTGCGTGTGGCTTAGGGGGATTAGAGAGGCCGCTCTAAGGAATCCCAGGACCCATGTTCACTAGCCAGCACAAGCAGTCGTCAGTGGCCACATAAACTCGATTTCAGTCCAACTTTGGATCTGTGGGGAAGTGAAAAAAGGTTTTAAACATCCTGTAAATGGCAAAGATGGAGAGGTTTAAAATGGTTTGGTTGGTCCCTACATGTCATGAACAGTACGGAGAGACGAATCACCAGGGCCATTTGCTGAAATTTGAACTAAACCACCATTGTAAACGAGCTGATTTCATGGGTTGCCCTTGCTGCTTTCTGAGCTGACTTGACGGCGATGAAATCCTCGTTCGGCCTTGCGCAACACAAAGAGTTCACCCAATTTGTCGGATGGGCTACTTGAGCCGGTGTGGGAAGTCATCAGTTTGGTGAAATTTCAATGAACAAATTGAGATTGATATACGCGTATTGGATCTAGCAGGATATTTGTCACAAGTCATAATTTATAATGATTTATACATATGTCAAACAGGGATATACAGGGTATCTACCTAAAATTCTGAACATCTGCAAGTCAGAACTGGGCATGCTCTTGATGAATCCAATTCCATCTCAGATCGGATAGCATATCTCAACGATGGACACCTAAAGAATCCAACCAACCAGGTTTGCTTTGAACATCTTTGAATTTTGAACTGGGTGAAGCAGAATCTCCTAGTTTCAACCATAGCCTGCCTACACTGTGTTTTTAGATTCAATATCATTCAAGTGTAGGGATATATATATATACATATATATATATATGTATATGTATATTGTATATTCACATATATATGTATATGTATATTGTATATTCACATATACTCTATATATAAATCATATATTCTACCTCCCAACTATCATTCAAAAACTGGGCAGTGCGTTTTGGGACCTCGGGACGACGCGGCGAGGGGCACCCGTTTTTAGGCGAAGTCCAGCGCTCTCACATCGTGGCTGGAGGCTTGAGTGAGGCGAGGACTGGCTGGAGGCGTCAAACATGGTGTAGGGATGGTGATATTTGATGGGACAAATTGGGGGGAGAATTTTTTTGGGGATTTGACCCTCTGGTGTTGACTAACAGTTTGCCATGGAAAGATCCACCATTTTTGATAGGTAAACCATCTATTTCTATGGGCCATCTATACCATGGCTATGTTAAATAACCAGAGGGTATAATTTATGGATGATATTTGGATATACACTCTGGTAATCAACCGTGGCAATGGAAAAATGGTAACCAGGGAAACAGGAACCGAGCGCAGGGTTCTCCAACAAAACGCCTGGTTGTTTGAGGATGGCAGCAATCCAGGCCATGATGGGCACATCACCTGCAATCAGATTTCGATGAATCCTGCAGCCCAACTCCCATGAATGCTGCAAGATTCGGCTAGATTCGGCTAGATTCTCCCTCCAAAACTCCAGAAAAAAATCTGTGTTTATCTCATTGCAAGACAGAGATTTCTTGGTGGCCAGTAGCCATGAGTACCCATCAGTCGCCACATGGTACATGACCTCAGGATCCGTGTGTTCGTGAGAAGGACCTGCAGGCGGGGAATGGTGTGATCCCAAACTGGGAGTGGTAGCACTGTGCTCTTCTGAATCTATGTCGGGCCCAGCAATGCCAATGAAATTGGGGCATTTCTAAGTCTAAGTCGATAAGAATATATAGTTGGTACTGAGATTTAAAAACATGTCATGCAATATATGAAAAGATCTGGTAGGTCACCAGCAAACATCACCCATCTTTGTTTGCTTCAAACTCCGGTCTCTGGGTTATAACCTATCAAATACGTTATAGATGTGAAGAAACACATAGTGTGTCTCTTACAGGCCATTTATGTTGGATTGACCCATTTAGAAAAATGGGTCGTAACCCTTCAATATATATATACTTATATAGATATGTACACAGTATATACAATATTATACAATCCTACACATAGCCATCAGTCATCATTTCGATCCGGACTTCGTTTTCGCATCTCCCGGTGCGCAGGGCTTCAAGCAGAAGCTCCGGGATCTCACCAAGAACCGTGGCATCTTGCGCAACGAGGTGCCACATTAGATGCGTTAGATACTTAACATTATGATACTGATGTTTGGGAGATTTTGCTGATGGTTTGGAGAATCTGTAAAGTTGATGCTGTGAAAAATTCTGGCAGATTATATCTATATATATAATTTGATGTTTGATGTTTGAGTCGATCTGTTCCAAAACAACGTTTTCACTACCGCATCGACTCGCAGAAAACCGAAAACCGCCATTCCGTTCTGCGGTTTTCTGCTGCAGGTGGACAACTTGAAGGATGATTTGGAGGCCGATCATCAGATGTCGGCTTTTCGGGACTTGGAAACCTACGAATCACCTGGATTCTGGTGACTGGTGATGATTGCACCTGATTGACGCACCTGATTGAGGTATGATCTGGTAAAAAAAAAACGGTCAGATCCATTTAAGTGCAATGAATGGATCGTCATTGTGAGTGCAGAACTTCTTCCAAGAGGCACCAAATTCAGGATGGTTCATGTATCCACAGCCTAAAGATGCCTATGTTGATACTGATTTTGGATGATCCTCCCAACCAAGAAGTTGTGTATTGTCCAGTACTTAAGTCCATCGTTTTTTGGAAACTCCTGGATGATTTTCCCATAGAAACCTCCAGATAGGGATTTCCGGGCTTGCCATGTTTGATTATTGGAGTGCCAGGCTATGGAAGTTCGCCTGCAGCAACGGTGCATCAAACATGGCAACCCGTCTGGGTGTCTGCGAATATTCCATGGGTATCTGGATCTATTATGACAAACAAATGTATGTATGATGTCCAAATTTGAAGGTTGATGGAAACTAGCCATGTATTCTTTTCCCCCCAGTTTGACCCAGTGTTTTGCCTGCTTTTTGTGGTCTCCAAAAATAGTGGGTTTAGCTGTCCATCTATGTCCATCTTGCCCATTTTTTCAGCCCTTTGTTCCAAGGCATTTTGGCCAAAGATGTGGATCAACTCATTTGGGACTTCAGTCAAAAGGAGGGCGACTTCATGGGGTGCGGGACTCGAGAGATGGACTCAATCTCTGGATGGAGATCTCTGGATTTGGCCTAGGTTGGAAATGGTTGGAAATGGTTGGAAGGGTGAAGCTCTAACTTTGAGATCACCTATATAATATAATATATATATATAATCATATCATTGGAGATTCGATCAGGAGCCTCAGGTCTATGGTTGGGCTCTTGAATTCATGAATCCAAAATTTTTCGACCGCGGCACCAGGCAGAGATCTGTTATTGCTCAGTGTTGGATCATATTGCTTTGGGGCGATCCAATCCAATTGACGCATCCCAGAGATCCGCCAATTCCTACTTCGCGAGATGCGAGACCTACCAGGATTGGTAATTCCCCAAGCAAAGCATTTTGATGATGCTCCAGGTACAGGGCCAGGGTGTTTATCCCATTCTTTTTCGGGGCCTAAAGCCAGTAATAGTTGGACAGACAGAAAAAGACTTGGCATTCAGGTCCCTGAGATCCCTGAGATCCCAATGCTGGTTGGTAACAGTTCACCGCCTCCGAGTTTTCGCATCCTCAGTTCATTCCCAGGTGTCAGACCGTGCTGTCCGAGCTGGAGCAATGTGAGGAGCTTCATCAGCAGCACCTTGCACAGGCGGAGCCTTGAGGCTGATAGGATCAGCTTTGGGTATTCTGACATAGCCATGGAACATGGCACTGTCTTGTAAGTAAATCATCTAGCAATTGGTAACATTGCATGTTTAAATTGCCAGAGGCTATTTGTAGAATATCAATAGAGACGGGTCAAAACGAAATACACTGTCTTTGGAGGGGATGAACAATCCATAAATCCCAGCTATTTTGATTGAACAACCAGGGACCATACGCGCATGGCAATTTCACGGGTGTATACACCGTGTTTTGCCAGGAGTGTTACGCATATTCCAGGGGGTATGAAAATGGGGATTTGGGCTTCAAAAAATGGGGATTCGTATTCTTGAAATTTCTTGAACAAGTATGAACCATGTAAACCTGGTATATCAACCAATGGAGGACGCCCTACGTGCCCGTGGAACTGGTGCTCAGCAGGTCGATGAGCTTCGCGCGCAGTTACGAGATGCTGAGGTTTGGGTACTCCCCATTCCAAGGGATTGGAAAACTTCACGTGTCCCGCGGTTGATGGCAAGTTGGGAGTATGTTTGATCCATTTTTTGAGGGTTCAAGGCCGATTTTTGTGTATCCCAATAATTTCTTGTGCAAACTCTAGCAAAGTATGAGCAACTGAGCAGCTGAAGAGTTCTTGGTTATTAACTCATGATTTGGATGGTTGTCCATTACGCAATAAAGTGTTTCAAGCCCTTCGCAATTTTTGGCGCACGGCCCCTGTCCAACAGCTGCCCGGTTTTGGCTGTTTCAGGACCTGGCTGAAAGCTCCGGAAACAAGGAAGCGGAGGTGTGGTGTGATGGTGACTGGGGTTCCCAGGTCGGTGTCCTGAACTCGACTCTTTTCTGGCAGCAAACCCCTTTTTTGGGATGTTTACTCCAACTAAGTCATGGATTTTGATGCATTTTCAGTATTTTTTGCGATGGGTTGAAACGGCCAACCAGTAGTTTCGCAAAGGTGCTCAGTGGCAAATTCCCTTGCATCCAACTGGCCATCGACATTAAGACGAGATGCACTACTAATAACCTGCGCATCCCCTAGTTCTGATCAGGATTTCCACCAAAAACTGATTTCCCAAGTCACAATTTGAGTAGGACAGTTGTCAAACATCTCTTTCTGGTACTACCAGCCAGGTTTTTTTTTCATACACCCCAAACAATAAAAAGCATTGACCCAGAAGTGGATGAGAGGAAAAATACTGGGATCCCCGATCCTCATCCTTGATGAAACATGTTGAAGCTAACCCAGCGAGTTTCCATCGAGTTTCCATCGAAGGCAAAGCTACGGGCTGAGGAGCTACGGAGACATGAAGCGGAATGGGAGGAGCCCAACTTCCAGCCCTGCGGGGCGGTCAGTTTTGGATGGTGCCATGGTGTAGCCTCTAGTAAACTAACGTTCTTGGGACATAGCCACGAAAAATCACCATCATAATTCACGGTAAATCAACTATAATTTTAATATATAAATGGGATATTTTCCAGTTTGCAAACTGTTGACATAACCAGGTAGCCAATTTTGAGACCCAAATCCCGGAGAAACTCCACAGGAGTTCTGCCATGCAGCGCCAGCCAAGTTGGAGCGGTGTCAGGTGGGTCACATCCCAGTGGATACCCAAGCCAATAGAGGCACTGGGAAATATCCAGGTTCCAACAGGTTCAGGTAAGTCATCTAGAGAATCGAGAATCAGACCTACAGTATATCATTATCTCATATCAAAATAGATAAAACCTATCATCCAATCCATGGATGTTTCACCATTGTTCACAACAGATTTTCCCCACATTTTCCATCGTCCTCCATCCGCAGTGCCGCCTGGTGGACGTCTGCGCGCAGCGGAGCGGCTTCGCCAAGCAGCGCCAGGAGGTCTCGATGGAGGTGGACCGTGCGGAGCGCCGCAGCAAGGAACTGAAGGACGACCGGAGACGGGCGGAAGAAACAGCTGCAGATTTCCATGGGAATTTCGGATGGATCAAGAAACCAGCAAAACATAAGTCAATAAGTGATAGGTGTTTCAAACAAGTGATGAATTTACGATCAGTTTCATATATCATGATGTCTGTGGGTAGGATGGATCTTTTGTAAAAATTTCTGTACTAATTAATGTTAGTAAAGCCATGCCTTAAACCAGCCATGGCTTTGTCCAATATGGACTGGTTTTTTTTTTATAGCACCAGAAATGATGATCCATGGGGGTATGGGATGGATCAAGCATTGATAGGTGTGATTTTGAAGATGGTCAGCTTATGCTTCCTATGGTTCCAATCATCAGACTTGATAATTACTAATGATTACATATGATTAACATATGATTACTTATATTAACAATATTGAAATTTTCGAAATACTAGGCAATATTCATTGAATTTAAGGGACCCGATTCCCCATGGCCGTCCATTGATAATATGTGGTTGTCTGCAAAATTCAACGGAAAGCCCTCATCCCAATGCTTCATGGCACACGAACTCAGACACACCCACTGGCTGAGGCTTAATGATGGCTTGATATTGTTGGTCAGGCTCATTTTTTTAATGACCTGCAAACATGGATGGTTTTCACATGGCGTAATGTACTTCAAAGAAATCTGACCTGCCTGTTTTGGGTCCATGCCCATTCTTGAGCCATGTCCAATACAGAAACTGAGGTTTGGGGGAAGAAACAGGTGAATGTCAGTAAGTTTCAAAGCTAGTAAAACATGGTAAAAGCTCCAGAGTTGTTTGCTATGTCAAGATCTTGCAAGATCTTGGCATCAACCAAATATCGACCAAGTTCCTCCGGTCCTCCCCACCCCCAGGCCCCCTAGGCAATTTACCCAGTGATCGCTCCAGTTCGCCTCAGGAGTCCCTAAGGGAAGTCCACGCCGCATTGGCCTCTGCCGATGCTGTGGGTAGCATGGCGGAAAGGGGAGCTGTGGAATGAGGGGAATTGGATTGGGGGGTAACTTTCCCAGAATGACCGAAGCTTTCAGGTTTGTGAATGCTTAACATTTATATCATATATCCACAATCTATGATGAGTTGTCCGGTTGTTAAAGTCTCATAGGGTAGATGACAGTGGAAAGATAGCCCTATTTTGCAAGTCCCTTTCTCCCCTTAGCTTGCTACAGTGGTGGAATCCCTTGAAATAAACATCCAACAGGGGTTCCTCCCGAAGGGTACTCCTCCATCCATGCGCAGTGCCTTGAGGTAAAGAGTTGGATGCTCTGAAGCCGGTGATCAACTCTGAGTGGGGGGCACCCATGGCTGTTGGGAGACCAGCTGCACAGATACCACAGGAGGTTTGAACGAGATGGTCTAATTATGTCTAATTCACTATTTGGGTGTAAAGTTGGGGTTTGCTTCTACAGATTGGAACGTAGATCTCAGAAATGAAAAATGGCGGGCCCAGATGGCTTCGCTGTCGTTGTGGAAACGAAATCCAATAGTTTTAACAAAGATGGAATGGCGATCCGCATGCATCGGCCTGAATCTGTTCCCTTCATCAACCTTGTTTGACTATCAACCAACCATTGTTCGCAATGTGGTGAACCCGACTTTCAATACTAAAATGGTCTAATTTGGATGATTTGCGTGTACCACCAATTTAGGAAACCTGCAGAACATATCTTAGTGTATAGTGTCAGTGTGTATTAGTGTATATCGTAGTGTATATATATATCATCTAAGTAGTAGAGATCAACCATTTTGCGAGTATGCACCATTCACCTTTCTCAGTATGTTTTATCAACCAACCATTGTCGGCGTTGACTTGAACGGCTGTCCGAGGCTCATCATGACAGATGCCGAGGCCTGCCCGCTCTTAGGGGGGGTCTAATGGGTGTATAACAAGTAATCATAGGGTTTTGATGGAACATATGTCACTAATCATTGATCAAACAGTAGTTGCTAAGTGGTTTTGTAAATCATGTTTATTTTCCATGGCAACAAATGGAATGATGACCCCAAGTTCTTTCAAAGGTGTCTCAACCAACGTGGAAACTCCAGTGCTGACGATCTCTTAGGGTCGCTGGGTCGCTTGGGTTTGGAGGTTCTGCAGCTGAAACAGTTGGCCTCCAGATTGGCTCCAGCCAAGCCTGCTCGACTAAGGAGGTGCTTGGATGGATTTTTTTCAGATGCAGATGGATGGTGTGAAACCAGAGTATCTTCATATAGTGAGAGTTGTTGTATGTTTTTGTTTTGAAGGTTTCGTTGGATTTTCGAACTACTTTAGTTGAATAACGCAAAATGGTAAAAGTGATGGTAGTTGGAATGCAGCATTTCGGTGGGTTTTGGGCATCGACCTTACCTTGCCATTTTGGCTGCCTTACCTTGGTCACAATTTTTGGACCGGCACAACATGTGCCATGATCAAAGTTGGTCTTCATAGGCCTAAAAAAAACCAGATGAGCAAGTGGGCCCATCGATTGGAGATGATTACAGTTAATGTTTTAAAGTATACCCTCTGGTGAACTAACATTTTGCTATGGAAAATCACCATGCTATTCATGGGAAAATCCACTATTTCTATGGCCATTTTCCATTGCTATGTTAGTTCACCAGAGGGTATGTTACATATCCAACCGACAGAAATTACATCTCCAACCAACAGACCTCCCGAAGTGAGATGACCAGCCATGTCATCATGTGTTGTGGCAGGCGAAGTGGTGCCGAGGCCCGGAGTGGATGGTTTAAACCATGTGGCTTATGAAATTAGGTACCAATGGAACCACAAATTGTTAGATATTTTTGATGCAAACCTGAAATCAGCCACAGAAATTCTGGTTCCATTGGTAGTTGTGAAATAAGCCACATTTGATTTGGTGCTTTGGCTATGGTTCGGGCATGCTACAACTGTTTCCGATGACATGCCCGTTGCTGATCATGTGCCTGCAGGAGGATATTCGAGAAAGCGAGTCCTCCAGTGCGCGGGAGGCCGGTTGAATGCCACAGAACCGGATGGGTGGGAGAAATAGAATGAGCTTGATGTGAGGGGGAAGACGATTAAAGTGACTATATATATATATATTTATTATATGTATATAAAATAGATGGACTGGGACACCAACTTGTTTGTGGAATTGCTGCCCCTTCTGTCCCGGCATGTTTGGCTTCAGGGTTGGATACATACTTATCTGAAGAATGTCCAGTTTTTTGTGCTAAGACTTCAGGGAACCCTGTAAAACGATGCAGCCACAATTATCCAAACAAAACAACAAACTTAAATTTGATTGTCCCTTGTCTTATCAGGGTTTTTGCCAAACCTTTTACTAGAGACTTTGAATACTTGTTTCTCTTTGAAATCCATATTTGGATGAACATGGCTTCAACCTTTTTTCATCCATATATTATATATATACCATTCATAGGTTCAAATATATGAACGTGGCTCTAACCATTGTTTATCCCGTGATTTTCCCATGGGCCCAGTGGCCGGCCAGTGGAGCTTTGCATGGCTTGGCAGCCAGGCGTGCAACGAAGGGGCGCCCAAATGGGATGATGCTGCCGAGCAGGCGCTGTCCTCTGCACAGATGTCTGTACAACATGGTTTCGTCATTCTCAAGAAACATCCCGAACACATCACATATAATATCATATAATAGCATATAATAGCATATAATAACATATAATATCATAATATCACAATATCATAATATCATAATATCATAGAATCATATTGCGATATTTTCAGATTTATCTAGTGGAAAGCACAAACGGCCATCGTGAGGACTTCCACCAAGACCTGCATTTCCGCGCCCTGCGGAAGCTTCGGGATGAGCTGGGGCCCAGGTAACAGCTGGTGGGGTAGCTGGATGGAGGGATGGGGGATTTGTCTGTTTAAACCTCTGTGACTATGTGTTTCTTCTTTGAGGCTTCACATATTCAAGGGTTTTCAAGATTGTTCTAGTTTTTCTGAATGATGTTCAGGCTTGTGATTGTTCTCTGATGCTGTTTGAACGCTGTTCTGATGTGTCTTGGAAATGAGGATGGGTGATTCTTGTTTAACCAGCAGAAATTGGGCATATAAACAACCACAATTAAGAGGTGGCGAAAACGACCAGCATTCGTCCGTCCAACATGGCCTTAAATTTTTGTCTCTATACCGCCTATACCCATACAGATGAGCCAACTTGGTGTTTCACCCGATGGTGAAGTGATGAAGTGTTGAAACTGCAGTCTTTGGACAGTCTTGCTGCGCAACCTGTTGGTCCACGATTTGAAGCACATCGACAACAATTGTGAGGCCCATAAAACTGGACTATTATGAAATCAGCTCAGGCAGATTCAGATGTGTGTTCTTTTCTTTTGACCGCCCACAGAAAGGCTCTGACATATTTTCAAAAGACACTGTGTTCTGCTAGCGATTGACCGATCGCAGGTGCTTTCACAACTTGAGAGAACCTCTATGGTTATGGACCATGGGGTCCAGTAACAACCCCAACTGCAGCCCCAAGGCCCCAAGTAGAAGGCACCATGACCAGGGATTCCAGCCCTCCAAGGAGAGAACGTTGCTGGCTCGAGGAAGAGAGATGGCTCAAGGCAAGGGACTGTCCAACAGGTTGGGGATGGCAACCACCTATGGACTTCTATGGGTTTTCCTTCAACGAACAGCAGAAACGGTGTTTCTGTGACTTCCACAACAATGCCAAGCATGCCAATTTATGGTTTATTCATGACACTGCAGGCTAGTGTGATGACTATATAGATCGCTTCCGAACAGGAACCTTACTTATCACTGAACTGTGGTCCTTTGAAGCCAATGCTTTGGGTTGAAACTGACCGAATCACTTGGGACAACATTGCAACAACCATGATTCAAATACAGACTACAGAGTAGAAACATCAGTGAATTTCCATTCAACATAAAGACATCTTTAAATCAAATTCTCTGCCAGCTAGTCCATGTTTTCCTCAGGAGACGTTGCAACGGACGGAGGACAATTTGCTGAAGCTACGCGAACAGCTGGGAAGCTTAGGGGAGCCATCCAAATTTTCGGAAAGACAAAGGCTGGTTTGGAAAAGGGAGAAACAAATGGGTTTAAAATGATGGATTTCCTCCACCTTGTTGGCGTTCAGAACTCCATTTGCCTTCAGCAAGGCCACAGGTCCTAAATACTGAGACTCGTGCTTCCCCCTGCAAGCTTTGTGGCCCAGCAGGAACGTGTGTAGAAAGGTCCGCCTTGAACGTTGTTTGGCGTCATGGGTCAGGCCCAGCCCGTGCCGAACTCTTCTGGCGTGCAGAACCGTTCAGCAACCTTCACTCCCAAAGGTGGCTTGCCAACACTTGCACTGCCTCCCACCCAGATCTTCAACCTGGAGGCAGAGCACGGTGTGGACTACTATCAGAACTTGCACTACATGCGGTCCAGGATCCTTCAAGCCAATGGTAAAAGTGAGAATATCCCATACTTTGAGATGCCAGTGTGCCCTAAAGTCAAGGAGTTGGTTGGTTACCTTCGGCCAGTGCACCGATGCGCCATTGCCACATTCAAATCCATTCTACAGACTGGAACGCTTGACAGTCGCGAAGTCAGAAGCTCCATTGCTGAAGACCCATATGCTGCTTTGGAAAAGAAAGTGCCAGCAGACAGCCGCATTTATTGCTGGATGTTGTCATTCACCAAGGACAAGCCAGTTGAACCCCTTGTTGCTTGGGTTGTTGCTTCCTCAAAACAGGCACTTGCTCGCATCCAATTCCAAAGCAGTGAGGCAAGTGACCGTGCTCAGAGGCGCCAGAGTTTGAACACATTGACAGCAGCTGCGAATCACTTGGAATTGGAGGTAAAATGCTTCTACGGTTGGAATCAGCTCACGTCCAAGTTGTCAGATGCGCTCAGCCGGGTCGTTGAGGCTCTTCCAGAAGAGGTGCAAGTAGCTTTGGATGCACTGATAAGCCACTTCCGACAATTGCTGGGACTTCCGGACAAACATGGCGCCCTCTGGGTGTACTTGTCCTCCCTGTCATCTGGTGCTGTCACAAATCCAGCCGAAGCAGCTGCCAGGATTGTTGCAAATTGGGAAAATGTTCGAAGCCAGCTTCCAGCGGATGTGGATCCTTTCCTGCACATGATGGATCAGGCCTTTGCAAAAGAAGCCGCCAGTGTGCGGTCGTTGAACAGCCTCATGCAAAAACTGGGCCAACGTGCAGAAGAGCATGCCAGCAATGTTTTTCATGGAAATACACCTGGGATTGGCTTCTTTCGAGATCTGGAGCTGGGTACCAACAAACGAGTGTTCTCAATTGTGGGTCCTCACTTTGAACAGGGCTACAGAGATATTATGATCGTCTTGGAGCAGACGGTCATGTGTCATCCAGACTTCAACATGACTCCATGTGCTGGCACTGGCTTTGCAAGTGGAAATGCCAAACAATTCAACACTTGGTTTTTAAAAGTGACGTTGAGGAATTTCACAGATGCAAGCTGAATGCTGGCGTTCGAGGATGGCGCAGTGTCATGGCAAGTGCGCTTGCACATGCTTGTCATGTACACTATGAGAGGGGCAGCATTGAGGAGGTGGACCAGAATGATTTGTTGAGGTTCATGGCAGAACTTGATTCTCATTGCCTGATTGAGGGACACTTGCCACCTTTGCTTCCATTGAAAGGCTATGCAGCGCAGATTCTGATCCCACGTTCTTCCTACCAGCAATTGACAGGGACAGAGGAAGAGCGGCTTTTGGAATTGATGGGTGGAGAATCTTCCAGGATTGTTGTGACCGATTCCTTCTTAACACCTCTTGAGATCTTTGGTGCATGCATCTTCACTTCTCCTTCAGCACTCTCCCATGGTTTTGCCGTCAATGCGATGCCGTCCGAAAGACCTTGGCGTTTGCAGGTGGCCCTGCTGGATGACAACAACTTGGGTTTTGTCATTGGCATTGGAAAGATGGTCAAGTTTGAAGACTCGCCGTCTGCCCAGCTGATGCAGCTGGGGTTTGATGGTACATGGCTTGACGATGCAGCAAATGATGGCAGTGCTGAAGAGATTCTTCAAGAACGTTCCAGCTTGGTTGAAGAGACGGACGGAGAAACTTGCTCACTTTGGTTGTCTGGGAATTGCCATCCCCTACACTCTGTGTTCAAAGCCTCTCCGGATGTTGCAAAAGCAGAAGGGACATTTGACATTCAAGTCTGTCCTCAGACTTCTTCCATCATGATCATGCATGGAAGCGACATGGGTTTGTTCGTGAAGATGGAAGAGCCCGCCGCAGGGTGTTGAGTCAGCTCTCTGCAGTGGAGTTCAGGGCTCTGGTGATGCCAAGATCACCAACATCAAGGTGAGAGGTGGCGAGCATCCGCTGTGAACCCCAGTGACTGTTGCTTGTTATACCTAGTTTACTGGGCTGTGAGATGGTTGTAGATGGTTGTAGATGCGAATTTCTATTGCAGTTGGACCGTTATTCTGCCATCATGCTGCTACCATACTGCCATTTTCAGGGGATTGATCACCTCTCCGACCAAGCGACAGCAATTTTTAATCGACCGAAGCCACGCTTGGGAGCAACAGTTTCTCAAGGAAGGCTGCACGAAGATGCGGAAACCGCAGCAGTTGTGGATGTGGATTGCAAGGGCATAAATTGCAAAGTGGTCATTTGATCTCATCCCCATTTGATTTCCATTCTTTCCGCTGACTGAACTATTTAAAGATCACTGGCTAGCATGCAGGTTCATTTTCACAGAATTTCTGTGGCTTGTCATCAGGTGCAGCCATGCTGACTCCCAGGAGCGACTGATGCAGTCCGAGGAGGTTGGGACGGGCATGGACTGTGGAGAATGTTGCCACCTACTGGGTTGTCTTGTTATGGCTGAAATGATATAACCATATATACAGTAACCCATCTAGGTTGATGCGCCTGAAGGTGGCAGATACCCATCTTGGCCGAGTTGCACGCGGTATCAGCCAGACCTCTTTGTTAAACGATAGTGTAGTCACCTAACAACTTTGCAGGACCAGATTTTCTGTGTATAGGAGATGCACACAATGGCTGGCTAGATGCATGATGATATATCATGGCTTGCCCCACGCTGATCGCCTTGGGAGGAAGAACTGAAAAAGGAGAAGGCTGGCCTCAGCGACCCTGAGGCCATCACAATTTCTACGTTTTGTTCCGTCCACGCTGAGGGAATGACAAGCTCGATGAGTACAAACTAAGATGTTTCTTCCATGGTCTTCCCCCTTAAATGGTGTCAAACTGCGCACATTTGCCGCTTTTTCGCCGCAGGTTCACCACAAACGTTTGGCAGATGCCAAGGTCGGCACCAGCAACCGCAACGGAAATACCTGGAAGATACTACACGTCAGAGTTGTTAACGCCAACCTAGAATATATATATATACACATATATTTGTACATACATACAGTACCATAATAATTGATTTTTATATATGTGAAAGAGCGTTATGACCTGGACAATTGGTGATTTGATGCCTTATATCTAGGATTATCATGGATTGCCTAGGTACATGATGAATCATGATGATATTTTCCCCATCATTCTGATAGTTTCCGTGTTGTGACGTGAGAATCCTCAACTGGGGCACGATTGGCTGATGTTTTTTCTTCTGGTCAGACCCCTGTCCATTCTCCTGCCATGTCACCTTCATAAAGAAAAGGTGGACAGGTAAGAAATCGTCCCGCCCCTGGCCGCTGTGATACTGCGGCTCGAATGCAAAAGGCAGGGGATTCGACTTTTAATTTCCAGGCACCTTTATCTTGAACAGCTCTTAGAAAGCTCATTCATCATATGTCCGCAATAGCTTCCCAGCGCCAAAACCAATAGTGAAAGTTCCAT